TGATAGTGTGTAGCCTCCCATCCAGGCTCCCTCGGTATAGGCTGAGGAAGTCCAAACTGTCGAAGCACACGCTCCGTGGCATGATACTCAACGTGATCCCAGAAGATCATCGGGACGGAGGTGCTCCAAATCAGCCGGTCGACTGAGCAACAAGCGGGTAGCTGACCAAGCAACTCGATGATGTATGGCGTCCAGATGAACTACCAAATAATAACATAAAAATGAGTATGCAAAACACAACTCAATTTAAAACAACCAAGTGTAGGTACATATTTACCTGTCCGTCCACCAACATATCTAACACATTCCTGAGAAGGGGGAGATTATGATGAGCATCCGTCCCTCGGTAGTTCCCACACCGGAGAATCCACCTAATAGCTAGAGGGAGAAGCGGATAATCCTCACTGGGCGGAAGTGGTGGTAGAAGTGGCTGCAACGGCATGATCCGCTGCCAGGCCCAAAGCTAAGATAAAATGTTGATGTAAATTTATGAGTCATTTCACGATATAGAATTTGGAGTAAAGAACAAAGTATTCGGAAATTTATTGCACCTGTAGGAGGGGCAGAAAACCACATATATCAACCGCTGGACCTATGCTCGCCCGACACATGCTCCTATACAGATACGCCAGAACAGTAGCACCCCAGCTGTACTGGGGTAGCTCATCCAGCTGCTCAAGACAATGGAGAAAGCGCATACTCACTTTACTCCCCGAAGTGTCCGGGAACAAGACACACCCGAAAAGCAGGAGCAACGCCAACCGAGTGTACCTCTGAATCCAAAGATGCTCCGTCTCGTGGGTAATATCTGGGTGCAAATCTGCATCTGATCTCTAATGAATGACAAAGCAACGCGACTGCCACCCCAGTCACCCTGAGGTCTAGAACCAGTCAACTGCCCCATCATATCCGCCAACTGTGCACGTGTCATCCCTCTCCAGTGGTGGGGCAGTGCGAAGGCGCGTCCCTCTACACGCAGTCCGTATAAAACCTGGACATCCTGCAGCGTGATGGTGGCCTCTCCAGTGGGCAAGTGAAATGTATGCGTCTCCGGTCGCCACCGCTCTACCAAGGCCGTGATGAGCGACCAATCAAGCTGCATCCGTCCAAGCTCAAAAATGGTATATAATCCCGTAGTCTGGAGGCTCTCTACTACGCGCTCATGGAAAGGATGCCCCGCAATAAACTCCCACAAATCATCAGGCCTCCTGGGGCGGAGTGCCTGCATCGATAGCTGTCCCTCCCAAACATAGGAGGACCTATGGTCGCCCTGCAGCACTAGTAGCTGATCCTCGGCAGGTCCAGGATGCGCAGGCGGAGGAAAGGCCATGTCGTCTACTATAATTTAAACAAAATTAATTATTTGTGTTAGTGTAATAAATTAAATAATTAAGTATGATTAATATTGGAGAGAATAGTTATGTATGGGTTCCAGGCTTGATTTTCGAGGCCCGGTAGCACCGAGTTATCCTTAATTATTATGCGTCTACATTTCAACATTTTTAGAATTTTGTTACCTTAAAGAATTAAATTATAAATTTTTGAATTGGAGTAAATAATTATGTATGGGTTCCAGGCTTGATTTTCGAGGCCCGGTAGCACCGAGTTATCCTTAATTATTATGCGTCTCAATTTCAACATTTTTAGAATTTTGTTAACTTAATAAATTAAATTATAAATTTTTGAATTGGAGATAATAATTATGTATGGGTTCCAGGCTTGATTTTTGCGGCCCGGTAGCACCGAATTATCCTTAATTATTATGCGTCTCAATTTCAACATTTTTAAAATTTTGTTAGCTACTGAGACTCTACGCTAAAAGGCTCTACATTTTACTACGCTAAAAGGCTCTATATTTTACTTCGCTAAAAGACACTATATTTTACTACGCTACAAGGCTCTACAATATGAACATAACATTAACAATACAAATAAACAAAATAAATAATATTATTTAACAATACAAATTATTTATCAAATTTTAATACAAATTACATAAGAATACAAATTATTTATCAAATTTTAAGCATTTTTGGTCACAAACATAACATAATTTCGGGTATATAAATCAAATATAACACAAACAATCCGGTAGCATTTTTGGTCACAAACATAACATAAATTCGGGTATATAAATCAAATATAACACAAACAATCCGGTAGCATTTTTGGTCACAAACATAACATAAATTCGGGTATCAAATAAATAAATCCGGGTATATAAAAGATACAAAATTAAATACAAAAATAACATAAATTCACATGGAAACATACTAAACAATACTAATATGCATGACTATACGAGTTTCGGCATAAACTAAATTGAAATACCTCGATGTAAGTTTTTTGAATATTATTGAAATCGAATTTTTGCACCCGAAACACGGAATCCAAAGCTTCTTTTGTGTGTGAGACCTACACTCCTTGCTCTTTATGGGACGGGTGGGGCCGAATTTTTTTTTTTTTTAAATGAGGGGGGGAGCGGGGATTTAATGGAGGTTTGGACTTCTGTCTCGAAGGAAGAAGAAGAGCCTTATTTAATTAAGGCAATTCGCAGTATTATACTGCGAATTGATTTAACGGCAAAATTTCCGTTAACCTAATTCGCAGTACAGTACTGCGAAGTAGCCATTTTTGTAACTTTTTTTTTTAAACATTAAAAACGTACTTTGTGTCTAAAAAGTCATTAATTAAGTTTCGGACTCATCAATGGACAGTGTCAGTCCTTTAATTTCATGGTAAGGCAAATTAGCAGGCCTTCACTTGACAATATTTCAAGAGAATTTCAACAACGATGGATTATAGAAGAATATAATAAAATGATCAGAAGCTGCTCAAGAAGAAAAAGCTTAATTTCCAAAGGGTACATTCAAATGGACTTCATGAGACTATAGTGCAAGAAAATTAGAAGAGCAAAGATTCGGTGGGTGAGACATCATTCTCACTCGGATCTTTATTTAAGTGAAACAAAGCAAACGAGATTTCGAAAATGCCAAATTTTATTACATCAATATATTAATTACCGTTGAAATAACGTCCACAAACTCCCCCTAATAAAACCAAACAAATGAATAATTAAATGTAAAGAAGAACATGATAATGAACGTTATAAAACACTCCCACGTATCACTAGAGAGTTACACAAATGTGACAAAATGCACACTCCATCATTTAAGTCTAAATATATATATCTCAACTCTTGATCCTAAATAACTTTATGATAATCCACCGGTGAAGAATCGGGGTCCTCATTCTTTTTTCTCTCACCCGGAGTGCTTACACGAGGGTATACCTGGCACGGTTAACCGGAAATTAATAAAAAATTGGTCTGGAAAGATTCAAAACGTGATTAAGGCGTATGAGGCCTATACTGGTAAGGTATAATATGCGTCTTTTGGGCTCGACTAATCTCGATCCGTGCCCCATAATGCCTATTAAAGGGAGAAAACAATCTCTATGAGGATTATTTCTATACATAAAGCTTGAACTCGGAACTTCTAATTAAAGTAAAGGAATCTTGTCCATTCCACCATAACTTTTGGCGGTAAGGTGCTCATTCTTCGTCATGATAATCGATTACACACGAATATTAAACGCTAATATAAATAATAAGGATTTGGTTTGGGGCAAGATTAACTAATATAATACGAAGATGGACAAAAAGAAAAAGAGGAAGTTTCAACGACCAAAAACCGCCATCAACGGCAGGTTATTGGGGATTATTAAATGAAGAAAAGACACACAAAAATGACATACAAAGATTTGCATAAGGCCCCATTTCTGCCGACAAGTTTTGCCTTTCACTTTAAAGTCAAACTGTTGCTCAGGGCCGGCTCATGCACTACTGCTTAGAATATACCAAGCCATGCAATATTGTTAAATCAAGCACGTTGGGTAGAGGCTGATTAATTTTGAGCGATTTCAACAGGTTCAACGCAAGTTACTATACTTTTAGTTGGAATTATTTGTACATATGCAATAAAGTTAAAATTATTTATATTGAGCCAATCTGCTTATTCTGGCACATTAATATTTCTTCATTGAAAATGTAATGTTTGTAATTTCAGTCGTTGCAAAGGGAGTTTTCATTGGTGTATTAAAATTAATATTAAACAATCCGAGTAAAACCACAAGATCATAATATGGTTTTATATTTTGAATCTACGCCGCCATAAGTAGTCTTTTTTAACGAAGATGGAAGTAAATTACTCTTCTTTAGTTCATCATGCAAAAAACGTCTTCCCACGGAAAAGTTGCAGAACATTATATTACTCTCTTACTAGTATAGTAAGTCTACCAATACAGCCGGTGTACCTTTGGCACTACTTAGTCTTACTTAATGTATACGAAACTAGCTTAGTATATACAGTTTAATTTAGATGGTTGAAGAAGTATCAATATCGTAGCTAAACAGAGAAAAATTAATTAAGGAGCTAAGAGTAAGACTCCTGCGTCCCTTTCTCAAATGCTTTTACTTAATTACTCCTATTAAACAATAGTACTACTAATATATTTGTGTGGGTGCCCGTCAAACCCTATTGTGATATTTAATATTTAAGAGAAGACAAACCGTTACAAGAAAGTGTCTTCGTTCCGAGTATCATTTTTTATTCTCACTTTCTTGATCCGATCACTCATTATATGTTTTTATTTTCGCGAGGTAGAATTGATAAGGGCTCCAACTGTATGGTAGCCCACATGCATATTTGGTATTTAGCCTAAAGCAAAAGACAAGCTCAGAAGACCTTGACATCATTAGGGCCGAAGGAAGTGCGCACGAGGACGTTTATAATTAGGATATAATTTATATATACTGTATAAAAACATTTACACTATTAATATATTTAAATATGTTATAGTAGATTATCTACCTTATTTTTCAAGCTACTAATCACACTTATTATATACGATTATGTGTAGTTATCTTTTGTGGAGTAAAATTATATCTAATGGCCGCAGTCGGCATACCTTCTCTCTTTTCCCCCCTATATATACTAGATCTCTCTGTACGTTTTGCATTACCAAATACTTTTCCCTAGTAATATCATTACAAATTAAAGAAGTAGTGATAATCTAGTGCTACTTCATTTGTGAAGCAAGCTAAAGAACATGGCCTTATTCGCCATCTCACATTCGGTCATTCTTTCACATGTTCTGATTGCTTTAGTTTGTTTCACCAACCCGTGCTTCAGCTTCAGAGCTAAACATTTCAATTTGACCACCTCTGCCATTCACTGGTCGTCTGCTGGAGCTACTTGGTATGGCAGCCCCGATGGTGCTGGTAGCGACGGTAACTTACATCTCCATTGTCTCCATTAGTAGCGGTGGCCAAGATTTTTATTAAGGGATATCAAAATATATAAAAATAAACATGCAAAAAAATTAAAGGGAGTCAACATATAATATTTTTTTATTTTTTTTCCATGAAGGGGTGTCAGTTGACATCCCTTGTTATAAGGTGGGGACTTCATTAGAGCTGAAAATACTGCAAAGAATTCTTTACGCTATCACTATATTGTTACCTGCCTGTTTCCGATTATTATGGACAATTACCTCAACTTATGTTGTAGGTGACGCGATAGTGTAAGAATTTGTATAGACTGTTCGCATATGGAAGTTAAACACGTAACCGCATATGTTTATGAGTGCAGGAGGATCTTGTGGATATGGAAATGCAGTATCACAAGCCCCATTCTCTTCCTTGGTAACTGGGATTGGTCCATCCCTCTATAAGTCTGGAAAAGAATGTGGAGCTTGCTACCAGGTTCACCCTAAATCCTAAGCTCATGCAGTTTCATTGAACTTCTTGATTAACAAATATATATTGAAGATTTGTGAATTACTCAGGCTTAATCAGTCTTCTTTAGTCATTAGAAAATAAAAGTAATATAGTATATATATATGGTATTACAGGTGAAATGTACAAAGAAGGTGCATCCATCGTGCTCGGGGAAAGGAGTAAGGGTGGTGATAACAGACTTTTGTCCAGGAGGTCCCTGCGTCTCCCAATCTGCACACTTTGACTTGAGCGGAACTGCATTTGGTTCTATGGCCATTCCTGGACATGAACACAAACTCCGAGATGCTGGCGTCTTGCAAATCCGTTATGCTAGGCAAACTCCATTACCCGCCCCCTCTCAATAATTAAAACAACTTAATTAGGATATTTACCTAGTTTAATTCACACTATGCATGGGTGCAATTTGCCATTAGAATTAAGTCATCCATTCCATCAATTTCCCAAGCTTACTATAACCAGTTATTACCATTACTTAATTAGTTACTTTTACGTAACTTGATATCATACGTATGTCTTTGTGCTGTTATATACTCCATCCTTTTCAATTTAAATGACAAACTTTCTTCATTAGTGTTCCAAAAAGAATGATATCTTTTTATATTTGAAAATAACTTAACTTTGAATTTTTTACTCCCTCCGTTCACTTTTACTTGGCACGTTTTGACTTTTTACGCCCCTTAAGAAATAATAAATGAAGTGCATAATTTACCATGATACGCATATATTAATTGATGCATATTTTATTGGATTTGAGAAATGATTTGAAATGATTAATAAATACTGTGGGTATAACAGGTAAAAAAATTGTCTTCTCTTCATATGCGTAAAGTGACAAGTAAAGATGAAAATCTATTTTTAGTATACATGCCAAGTAAAAGTGAACATGGGGAGTATTTTTTACCTGAGAAACTTTTATAGACACAAAAAATAGCATTGGCCCCACAAAGCTTTTGCCCCTTAAGCTTTTAGGACCATATATTTCAAAAGTCATTCTTTTTTTCTTAAAGTTTGTGTCAAGTCAAATTACATCATCTAAATTGAAACGGAGGGAGTATTTAATATAAAATTAACGAAACAAAAAAAGATTAAAAGATTAACTTCTAGACGCTCAATTAAAGATAGATTCTTTTATATTATCTCTTTTTTTTTTTTGTTAGAATTCTTTTATATTATCAAGTTATTTAAAAGTCAACTATGTGTAAACTGTTACTCCATAATAAGCAGTGATTTGGAAGAATAAGATGGTAAGACACCTTTGAAGCTCAACTAGATAGATTAGTCCTGCAAAACAAATTAAATTTTTAATAATATTTGTATAATTTAACTTAAATAAATAATTCAATTATTGTATTAGTCAACGATATTTATTTAGACTAAAATGACTTGAATTTCAGGGTTGCGTGTGATTATTCAAGGAAAAACATAGTGTTCCACGTTGACCAAGGATCAAACCCAGAGTACTTCGCAGTGGTAATAGAGTTTGAAGAAGGAGATGGTGATCTTGCAAAAGTTGAACTGAAAGAAACAAAAAGCAGCAGTAGTAGTACTACTAAATGGAGGAAAATGCAGCAGTCATGGGGTGCTGTTTGGAAACTGGATGCTGGCTCTGAATTACGCCCTCCCTTTTCCATCCGACTGACTTCACAATATTCTCATCAGATTTTGGTGGCCAAGAATGTCATTCCCACTGGTTGGCAGCCCGGTGCTACATACCGCTCTCTCGTCAATTATCTTTAAGCGCTGGAGTTCTATTCACTGACAGTATTAAACAAAATATTTATGTTGTCGGTGTATTCACTTAGATTATTTTTAATTAAGTTTCCACGTATTTGGCTTGGAAGATAGTAAAATATGTATCCATACTATTCCTACTGTTCAACATCGGCCGGACCAAATGGTCTCGTGCTAAGATTAATATATGTATAGTGTGTTTGTATGAATTAGTGTGTGATTTAATGGTTCGGTTTCAGTTGGTTGAGTAGAAAAGTACGGTAGAATATACCGGTGTTTACATAAAACTATACTAATTTCATATGGTTAAGTGATAAATGCTGAGAATATGTATGAATTAAGGTGCAAGTACAGGTGGCCCTATATTCAAGTTATTAGCAACGATTCTATAAGTCATAACCACCCGAAGCAAACAAACTTGGTAATTTGTAGAGATTATAATTATCAAGGCTTAATTATATGTATCCAATGATGAACAACTTTTATCCAATATTCTTAAGATTATAATTATCAAGGCTTTATATGTATCCATCGATGAACAACTTCTATTCAAATCGTAAGATTTAACCCAATTAAAAGGTTAATGTATTATTAGGACCTAGTGTAAGAATTTCATCGATTGACATCAGTACGTGTCAAGCAAAAAATTGAGCAAGCCAATACAAAAACGTGTAATTTTTTTATTTTTATAACCATGGTGTTCGGGCTCTATCCATCGAGGCTTGGACAGATGAGAAAAAATCGCAAAGTAATCACCATGGTGCTTTTTGCCTCCACTAGGAACTGAACCTGAGACCTTATAGTTCTCAACCTACTCCATTGACCACTAGCTCGCACCCTTGCTTGCAAAACGTGTAAATATCTTCCCAAGTAATCACTGCTCAAGTAGTAATACAAAAAGGTGATCGTCCTCCAAAAAGGTTAGAGAAATTTATCTTACTAGACAGAAAAGCAGCTTTCTTGATTCAGATTTGACAAGGAATATATAGAAGCACCTTTATCTTCCATGGTTTGGCTACACGAAGGGGGTATAAATTAAAAGATAGTACAATGCAAAATAATGAATCACACTTTTTAACAAAGACAAGATATACCAATTACAAAGTCAAAGCTCAAAGATATGATAAAAAGGAAATAACAAACAAAAAATCAACAAATGTCTCAAAACAAGTCCTGATATTGCAGACTCCTGTAAATTAAAATCAAAACCTGCCTGAGAGTTTTCTATCAAGAAGCACAGGGATTGTTGAAGTTGAATCTTCTGAATCAAACTCTGTGCCTTTAGTAATCCCTTTTGCTGCTTCTAAATATTCCTCCAGTTTATTAGCCACATAATGCATGGTTGGCCTATTAGCAGAGGAGGGTGAGCAACAACTGATTGCTAATCTTACATATTTTTCCACCATTTCACTATCCTAGCTTCCCTCTAGCCTAGGATCAATAACATCGAGAACATCACCAGTACTAAGGGAAAGATCAACCCATTGAGTTATGTGACAGTTTTTGCTTGTTACCAGAGGGGGCTGTCCTGTGACTAGCTGCAGAAGCACAACTCCAAAGCTATAAACATCACTCTTTTCATGCAACTTCTGTAAATGAGCATACCTGCAAGCCAAGAATATATGGGGAGGACCGTCAGGATTAAATTCATATAATCACTGACGGTGTAAAGAATTTTATACCATCGGTGTAATTTAACCTGTTACAAAAGGTTACTTACAATTTATTCTAAAAATCAATTCAAAGAATGTAAAATGCAGATTGTAAAACTACTTACTCCTGATCAAGATAACCGATGGTGCCAACAACTGCTGTTGACACGAAAGAGCTCTCATCTAACGAAAAAGCTCTGGAAATTCCAAAATCAGAAAGTTTTGCTTGGAAATTTTCATCTAATAAGATGTTGGTACTCTTAACATCTCTGTGGACAATAGGCGGCGTGCAAGCATTATGCAGATAATCCAAACCTAGCAAGTCCTCGTTAATTTCAGCAAGAAAATAGACCAAATACGATAGAAAAATAGAAAAAGAACTATTATAACAACTTGAAGAAAGCAGAAGAAAACGAGATGAGGTAACGGAGAAAAACAAAAGCAACAACACTGAGACAGATTTGCTTACCTTCAGCTGCATCCAGAGCAACTTGAAGTCTCTCAATCCAACTCAGTGATTTTGGACTATGACCTGCATCAGCAAAATAAACTGCTCTAGTACAATTGCTTGATGTATCAGTAATTGTATAATATCAGTTGAATATTAGAACAAGCTCAGGAATATTTAGACAACAAATTCAGGGTTGAAATCTCCAATTAAGAGAAATAAGGGATAAAATATTATGTAAAATAGGATTTATTTTAGAAGTATTTAAGTGATGTTGGCTATGGAAGAGTAGAACTAAATACTCAAAAGATGAAGTATCTTTGAATAACCACAAGGTTTGAAGATATAGTCCATTGACAAACAATTTATCACATAGTTGCCTTAGTGGAAATAGAAAAAACAAAACCTTACTTGTTAGTTAGTCAGATACATATGAAAAGATTAAGAAGATTTAAGCATGAAAATTGTCAATTCTCACCATTAAGATGCTCTTTCACGGCCCCATTTGCCATGTACTCGTACACAAGGGCCATATAAGCACCTTCATAACAGTACCCAATAAGTGAAATCAACTTTCTGTGATGAACTCTTCCCAGTAGCTCAGCCTACAAAACCAGATAGTAGGCTGATTAATAGAGAATTAGTTCAACTGGTTCTGCAAGTCTATACAGATCCTACGAATTGTTGCTTTGAAAGAATTCATGAATTCAATAGGGCCAACTTCGAAACCTCAAGCTGAAATTCTTTGTATCCTGTCTCAGCAAGCATCTTCACAGCAACTTCTTTGTTGCCCAAGTTAGCCATAGTATACTATTCCAAATCCACCTCTGCCTAGAATCTTCTCAAAGTTGTTGGTCATACTCACTATTTTAGTTTACAAGAATCACTGGCTTTTCGACTCAAAAGACTTGACCATTTTATCCCCTGATTATAGAAGCATTGTCATAATTCAGTGAAAAAATCTTCGCCTTGAGAATGATAAGAACAAAAAGAAACCTGCACTCACCATACCTTTGTGTTTCATGAAGTAACTGTGACAACCCGGCCGGTCGTCTTAAGAATTAATGTCCCGATCCCCTATTAACTGCTTTCCCCGTGTTTATTTCTGCTCTTTTGGTTTGCCGGGATGTTCGATTTTAAGTTTCGGAGAGTTTTGGGACACTTAGTCCCTAAGTGAGAGCTTAAGTGTTGGAAAGTTGACCATAGTCGGAACAGTGTGAAGACGGCCTCGGAATGGAAATCCGATGGTTCCGTTAGCTCCGTTAGGTGATTTCGGGATTAGGGGCGTGTTCGGATTGTGTTTTGGAGGTCCGTAGCTAATTTAGGCTTGAAATGCCGAAAGTTGAATTTTTAAAGTTTCCGGTTCGATAGTGAGATTTTGATCCGAGGGTCGGAATGGAATTCCGAGAGTTACAGTGGTTCCGTTATGTCATTTGGGATGTGTGTGCAAAATTTCAGGTCATTCGGATGTGATTTGGTTGGGTTTTTGATCAAAAGCGGAATTCGGAAGATTTTGGAAACTTAGGCTTGAATCCGATGTGTTTTGGTTGATTTGATGTCGTTTGAGGTGTTTTGAAGACTGGTACAAGTTTGAATAAGGTTTTAGGATACGTTGATGCCTTTGGTTGAGGTCTCGGGGGCCTCGGGTGTGTTTCGGATGCTCAACGGATCATTTTAAGTTGTAAAAAAGTTGCAGATTTGGTTCAGCTGTTGCAGAGGAATTTTACCCTTCGCGTTCGCGAGTGGACTCTCGCGTTCACGAAGAGTCAGTTGAGGAAGGCAAAGATTAAGCCTTCGCGTTCGCGATGGGAGCTCCGCGTTCGCGAAGGGCTAAGGATTTGGTGCATCGCGTTCGCAGGATAGGTGTCGCGTTCGCATAGAAGGAATCGAGAGGCTGATTTTCAGTGGAATTAACTCATCGCGTTCGCGATGGGTGGACCACGTTCGCGAAGGTTCGTCTAGGTAAAGCATCGCGCTCGCGAGGGCCTTGTCGCGTTCGCGTAAAAGGTTTTTGGTCAAAGCCATTTTTGTGCTTCGCGAACACGAGGCTTTGACCACGTTCGCGAAGAAGGAATACCTGGGCAAAATATAAGATTTCAAAATCGAGGGTTAGCCATTTTTATTCAAAACTTAAGCTTGGGAGCTCGGATTTGAGCGAGATTTTGAGGGATTTTCAGAGGTATCGATTAGGTAACGATTCTAAACTCCTTTTTGCTTATAAAACATTAATCTAAACAAGAATTTATTATTTAATTTCGGGATTTGTATGAAAATTGGGGTAAAGTTCTTAGGCCAAGAAATTGAGTTTTGATTGGGGATTTGACATTGGATTTGGATAATTTTTATATGGTTAGACTCGTGAGAGTGTGAGGATTCTGGAAATGTAAATTTTACCCGATTCCGAGACGTGGGCCTGAGGGGCGTTTTGGTCATTTTACCTAATTTCGCGTATTAGCTTAGAATTTAATTGTAGAATCAGTTACTTGAAGTGTTATTTACAATATGCAATTGAATTGAGTAGATTTGGGCCATTTGGAGTCGAGTACTCGTGGCAAGAGCGTGGTTTCGGGTTGATTTGAGCTTGTTCGAGGTAAGTGGCTTGCCTAACCTTGTGTGGGGGACTTTTCCCTTAGGATTTGGTATATTTGTTAATTGAGATGCCTTGTACGTAAGGTGACGAGTGCGTACTTGTGCTAATTGTTGAAAATCCGGTTTTCATTAAGTACTACTAGTATGATTATTCTCCTGTTTCACTGCTTGTACTATTTAAGCCTGTGTTAGCTTAGGAAAAGCATGTCTAAGTGATTAAATTGCCTTATTTGTTTAACTGTTTTACCTGAATTCTGTGCAGCATGCTAGGCTAGACTATTTGTTTGCCTTAATATGAAGTTTGATATTTCTGAGCATTTCTTCTGTTGCTGCTGTGTATTTACATTGGGACAACGGATGTGGGATTCGGGTAGCAACCCCTTTGTCTGTTTACATTTGGGACTACGGATGTGGGATTCCGGTAGATCCCTCTGCACAGTTATATGGAACTACGGGAATGCACCCGGTAGATTCTCCCAGTACTGGGTATTTATGTTTGGGACTACGGAACGAAATTCCGGTAGATCCCCGTGTACTATGAGCTGGAC